ACAAATAAACTACACTAATCCGATTAATTGAATAAAACATTTGAATTTTGGATGGGTTAGGGTCGATTTTGGGTTAAACCCAACCCATTATAGTCATAACTCATAAGCAGGTAATGGAGTAGAGTCACTAATTTTAGTTAGACCATCAACAAAAATTGAAACACTAAATATCAATAAATTATAATATTGGACTGTAATTTAAGCACTAAATATCAATAAGCAAAATAAGCAAGAAAATATATAAAGAAAATGGAATTTCAAAATCTAATAAATAGAAGTTTCACTAAATTACATAAATAAAAAGGATTTTCAAAATCAAACAATAAGATCAAATGGATATTTCACTTAATTACATAAATAGAATAGAATTTCTAAACCTAACAATAATATCAAATGGTATTTTCACTAAATTATATAAATAAAATGGAATTTCAAAATCTAACAATAAGATCAATTGGACACAAAAACTCACTAACTCTGAAATTTCAAATGGTATTTTTTGATATAATTATTTTTTCTTTTCAATAATTATTTTAATTTCAGCATTTTCACAATTTTCAGATTTCAAGATAATAATGAAAAAATTAAGTTGAATTTAGTAATTATTAGAAATTTCAGAATTTTAATTATTTTTTGTTTTGAGAATTCAGTAATTATTTTTAGTAATATTATAATTCTCAGTATTATAATTACCAAAAATACTAATGTATGAAATAACTAAATTTAGTAGCTAAGACTTAAAAAGTATTAAAATTTGAATATAAAATATTAAAATTAGTGAATGACTGAAAAATTAAAACACAATTATAATTATCAGTGTTATAATATTATAATATTTAATATTATCAATTATAAAAATCAGTAAATATTAAATATAATTATTAACATAATCTATAAATATTTAGTTAACATGATTAATTCATTAACGTAATTCAGTAGTTTATATTAAATTAAATTGGACCTTTTTAATTATTAAATAATTCTTAATCATCATTAAATATTCAATTCTTCAATAATTTTGTAATTATTAGTTTTGGTAATTACTATGACATTTTAATTGTGGGACATGGGACAAGAATAACCAACCAGTTTAATAACTGTTTAACATTAACGTTTGATAACATCCATACCTGACCCGATCAAGACATGAATAGCCAACCAGTTTAATAATCGTTTAACATTAACAACAAGTCAACAAACAAATCATTTAGTAACATCCTTACGCGACCCATTCACCCAGATTTGGGCCATCTTTTTGACCCGAATCCTTTGTTGTTATGCTGAACGTGGTGGGATGGATGTGGGTTTAACATAGAAATGATTTGGGCAATGACTTTAACACATAAACGATGGAAAATTTGGAAGATAGATTTAACACAGAAAAATGATTTGGAAGACGGAAAACATACCCAGGCTTTAACACAACACATATGGGTTGTGCTCAGATCTCTCTCTAGGAAGCAAGGGGTTGTGTGGATCCAAATAGAGTAGAACCTAGGAGCAATACAAATATAGTCTATTATATTCTAAATAATTTATTTAAGAAAGAAAAATGTAAGATTGAAACCAAACATTTTGTTGACTGAAATGAGTTTCAAAATAGGGGTGGGTTTGCTCTACTTTGGTTGATGGAACTAAGTCCCAAACTAAGGGCGGTGTTGTTGTGCTTTGCAACAGATGGATGGAAAAGAAGTGGGAGTAGATCTGTAGATGTGAATAGAATGCAGAAGGATGCAACACGGGTGGGAAGAAGGTATAGAAGGACGATATTTCTCTATGTTTTGAAGGACTTGATATTCGGTTAATTAAGTTTTCTCTTGATGAAACACGTACGTATGTTCGGAAGGAAACATAATCTTCAGTCTCCTCATTTACACGAACTTATAAGTGGCTATTGGATAGCAACGTGATGTGGCCTATTGCAAGTGGATGGCAATGTATGAGTTGGTTTAATGGTAGGCTGAGAAGGGAGAGGGAGAGAGAGTCAAAGAGAGCAGGGTTGGGGTATCCTACCAAGGAGAGGCATGGTTAGCTATATTGTTATCTATCTATCTATCTATCTATCTATATAGATTAAGGTCACCTGACCACTTTCGTTTTTCCCCAAAATCGTTGATTTTTGTCAGTAAACCGCTGAGCCGGCCGGTTAACCGTTTGAACCGTTCAAACGGTTTTGACCATTTTTCAAAATTTTTTAAATTTTTTATTTTTTTGTCAGAACGTGCTGACCATTCAGGTTGAATGATTGGACCGTTCGAACCAGTAACTGGACCCCTGACCAATTCGATTTTAAAAACCATGAGATTAACAACCCATCTAACGTTACCCCAACTATATGGATCCATTAGTGGGTTCATGACATGATGGTGGCCAGTGAAAATTTTCCAATACACAAAGGTTGTGGCCTGTGGGTAAGGTTTGATCAATAACAAACATAGTATTATTAATACTAATAAGAGAGTAATAAAGAGAACAATTTAATTGAAATAGCCGATGTGTTATTCAGCTCTTTCTTATTGTTTAAAAAGAGTACAAGAGATAGAGATTAGAAGGTTGATTCCTATCTGATTTAGGATAGGACTGTGTTAGCTATCTAGGACTCAAGAGTTTGATTAATACAATATGAGAATACTTAGGACTCAAGAGTTTGATTAACTTAGGACTCAAGAGTTCGATACGTGCATGGCTCATGCACGCTACTTGTGCGTTATTACTTACACCCCCTCAAGCGTAGCCGGAGGAGAGACAGTGAGCTTGGTATGAAGTAGTTCAAACTGAGGTTGACCAAGAGGCATTGTGAGAACGTCTTCTAGTTGATCAGCTGAGGGAATGAACCATACATCAATGAGCTTGTTTGCAACTTTCTCACGAATAAAATGAATATCCAATTTGATGTGCTTGGAGCGAGAGTGAAGAGCCGGATTAGTAGCATGAAAGTTCACTCCCATATTGTCACACCATAGTAGTGGATGCATAGAGAGGGAAACACCTAGTTCTTGAAGAAGCATACGGAGCCATAGAACTTCGGCAGCCGCAGAAGCCAAGCTGCGATATTCAGATTCAGTGCTGGACCGAGCCATAGTCAGTTGCTTTTTGGAGCTCCAAGAAATTAGGTTGGGTCCATAGAATACACAATAACCACTTTGAGAACGATGATCCATGAGATAGCTGTTAGACAGTTTTGTATGCCCTTAGCTTCAATCAATTTTGATGTACTTTTGATATTTAGTGTAAATAAATAAAATACATGTTTGATTCATGTTGTGTGGTATATTTCTGTGTAAGACCCTAAAACTGGACACTTAATGAGACTTGTGTTAGTTTAAAGGAGGATAAGTCTGGGGAGATTTATCCTGCCAAGGCTGACATTGGTGTGCTGCCAATTGTTGGGGTGGGTTGTCTCAGCTGTCAGGGTGAGACCCAAGGCACACGCAGTATAGGATTACTTGAACCCTTGAACCGGACCAGATTTCCAGTATTGCCCTGGACCTTGGAGATTGATGGACAAAACTAGAAAGTTACACCTGACCCTTAGACCCGATTATGGTACTGCACTAGGTGTCGGATTGGGCTGTCTTTGATATGCCAATCAGTGAGATCCTTAGTGGGGGTCAAAACCTGGGTATGTTGGGACAATCTAAGAATTCATCTGAGTGGGTGATCGTATTGACGAGATCAGCCCCTTTGTTGGACAAAGGTAATGATCGGGGATGCACTCTCTCTGATGGAAACCAAACTGCCGACAATTGATTTCAATCGTTGGAATTTTGTTTTGCAAAATTTATATATATATATATATATATATGATATATACTTATATATGGTTTCAAAATGTTTGCAAATGGTTTTAATTCCTGGGATCCATGTGAGTAGAGAGTACAACACTGTTCCTTGCAGCCGAGGGAGATGTCCTCTCTTGTCGGGCAATGCTTGATCATTATGGGCTGAGAGGTTAAGTGTAAGGCCATTTAGGATAATACTTGATGGGCTAATCTTGCATCTGCCCACAATCCCTGGGTTTTTATAAGATGGTTTGGCCTAGGGACCACTTAGTGTAAGTGTTGGGCCCACAGGGTCCATGTGATGGGCTCAGGGGGTTCACTAGGCTTTTCAGTGAATTCGGCTAAGCCTTGTAACAAAGGCTGGGCCGAACCCATGTGGCTGATGTGTAGATCAATGCTTGGGTCTCACACCATACAAAGAAGCCCAATTGAGCAGCAATTTGGAAGACTATCGAGCACTTAATACATATTGGGCCTAAAACCCATTTCAATCTGGGCTGATTTGATCAGTCACTTAAGGGGGCGGATATGAGATTAGGTTAAGATCAAGAGCTGATCTAATCTGCAGATAAGATTAAGAGGAGTCCTAATCCGAATACAGATTTGGATAAGGGCAACTCCTAATATGATTAGGAGGTTTTCTTAATCACTAAGAAAGAGGAGGAAAACCCTAATTCAAATTACTTGAATTCGAACCCTAAGGGTTTTTAGCAGAACACTCTAGCATTCTCCTCCAGCATCCGCCGCCACCTTTTCTGCCAGTTCGTGTTCTCAGTTGAAGAAAATCAAGAAAGGTTCTTGATTGTTCATGTGGTGCTCACAGTCTTCCATCAAGTTCTTCAGAAGAACCTGGTTCGTGGGACGAACATTGTTGGTTCGGCACCATCATCACTGTGTCATCTTCAGTAGGAGTTGATCTTTGGATTTTCTTTGGGTGTGAACACCAACGTTGGGAGATACTACTTCTCTGGATCAGGTATAATCCCTCCCTTCTCTTTTGGTTCAAATCTGGTCTGGTTTGGTTCAAGTAGGATCATTGAATTTTGATTCTAAAATCAGGGAATGCGATTCCCAGTTGAAAGAAAGGTAGAAAATTTTTGAAATTCGCCCGCCCATTCCGCAACAGTTTTGGCATCCATACGATGGATCCTACCATTCCTTTCAATAGCTACCCCAGTCAGCACCAGAATAAGCAACAAGAGAGTGAGTGCAACTTGGTCAAATGAGCATACCATAATTAATCATACCCTTTAGATAGCGAAGAATTCTCTTGGTAGCAGCCCAGTGAACAGTAGTGGGAGTTTGCATGAACTGATAAACTTTGTTGACGGCAAAGGAGATTTCAGGATGAATAATAGTCATATACTGAAGAGCACCCACAATAGTGCGATAGAAGGTGGGGTCGGTGAGAGGTTCACCCTCTAAATTTGTGAGCTGAGTGGAAGCAAACATAGGAGTGGAGAGTGGTTTTGCATCATGAAGCTGAGCACGAAGAAGAAGATCATCAATGTACTTGTGCTGAGATAGATGAAAACCAGTCGTCGTCCTGTGAAACTCATTGCCAAGGAAGTAATGTGCGGGGCCCATATCTCAAAGAGAAAATTGAGATGAAAGGTGTTGAACAAGGGAGTCGATGCTTGAGGAAGAGGATCCAAAGATGATGATATCATCCACATAGACGAGGATCCTAACAATGCTAGAGGTAGAGCAAGAGATAAACAAGGAGGCATCGGCTCTAGATTCAAGAAATCCTAAGGACAGAAGGCAATCACACAGCCTTGTAAACCAAGCGTGTGGAGCTTGCCTCAAACCATATAATGAATGGTGGAGGCAACAAACATGATTTGGAAACCGGGGGTTGGCAAACCCAATAGGTTGTTTCGTATAGATTTCCTCAGAAATATTGCCATGTAAGAAGGCATTGCTTACATCTAACTGTCGAACATCCCAATTGAATGACATTGCAAGAGATAAAACTATGTGAATAGTAGCTGGTTTTATCACAGGGCTGAAAGTTTCATCATAATCAAGGCCAACTTCCTAAGAGTAGCCTTTTGCAACAAGACGAGCTTTGAAGCGTTTAACTAAACCATCAAGTTTGCGCTTGATTTTAAAAACCCATTTATTGCCAATAATGTTTTTATTAGGCAAAGGTAGAGTAAGAGACCAAGTATTATTATGGAGCAAAGCACTATATTCATCAGTCATAGCAATGACCTATCGAGGATCTTTTTGAGCTTGAGAATAACATGCTGGTTTGGATTCCGGAAGCAGACTAGCAAGGAGAGCATACCTTGGATTGGGTTTAAAAATTCCATGTCGAGCCTGAGTGATCATGGGATGTAAGGAGGAGGAGGAGGATGGCATTGCAGTTGAGTCAGAACTTGAAGTCGGATGTGTATCATATTGAGAGCTTGGTAGCATCGGAGAAGAAACTTCAATCGGAGGAGCTGATTCCGAAGTAGCAACAAGGGGAGGAGCCTCAACTGTAATAGGCGGTGGAGATGCTGTTGCGGTGATAGAAGTAGTAAATGGAAAGAAATCCTCATTAAAAATAACATTGTGAGAGATAAAGATCCTACCCGTGGGGCAATGTAAGTAGACATACCCCTTGTGAGAATTTGAATATCCAAGAAACACACAAGAAAGAGATTGGGGCTGCAACTTATGTCTATTATATGGTCGGAGATGTGGAAAATATTCACACCCAAAGGCACGAAGCCTGAGATAATCAGGTGGTTGGCCAAATAGTTTCTCAAATGGAGAGCATGATCCAACCACCAAAAATAGGGAGTCGATTGATGAGATAGACTACAGTAGGGAAGGATTCGAACCAATATTTGGAGGGTACTGCGACATGGGTTATAAGTGCAAGACCCGTTTCAACAACATATCGATGTTTTCCTTCAGCATAGCCATTTTGAGGTTGAGTATGTGGGCACGATATTCACCAAGAAATCCCAACATGGTTGAAGTAGCTATTAAAAGTCTTGAGTTTAGAACCACCATCGCTTTGAAAATATTTAATCTTAGCATCAAAGAGTAATTCCACATTGGCTTTAAATTTTAAGAAAACATTGAATGCCTCTAATTTGCTGGTAAGTGGAAATATCCAACAATAATGACTAACGCCATCAATAAAAAGAATATAATAACAATAACCAAAAGTAGATGTTACGGGAGAAGGTTCCCACAGATCACAATGAATAAATTCTAAAGGAGAGTTACTAATAGCATGATTTTGAGAAAAAGGGGAGTACATGACTTTTAGCTATTGAGCAAGATGAACAAAAGGAAAAATCATCACTAGAGACTACCAGTAAGTTGTGAGAGGAGATGAGTTGTTTGTCGAGTCACTCTAAGAGCAGGGTGACCCATTCGATGATGCCAGATGTCAAGGCTGGTACGAATACCCATGAATGTAGTAGGAGCCATAGTTGGTAACTTGATTGTAAGATGAAGCTGGTAGAGTCCACTTTTATTCGGCTCTTAAAGAAGTATTATCCCGGTGCGTTGATCCTTCACAAAGAATTCATGAGGATGAATTTCAAAATAAACATTATTATCGACAGAGAAATGATCCATAGATAATAGATTGAGAGGAATTCGAGGAACATGAAGAATATCATTCATAACCAATGATTTGAACCATCACCAATGGAGATACGATAAAAAATATCATAGTCGGAATGAATCTGAAGTTTATTCAGATCAAAAGTAAGATGATGTGTTGCACTAGAACCGGGAAACCAAATATCTGGATATTGCTTATCATGACTTGTTGTAGCAGTGTATACCAAAGGCTGTTGGCGTTTGGGGTTCTTCAAATTTTCAATGTGTGCAAGGAGTTTCTGATAATATTTGGTAGAGTGATTTCGACCTCCACAGATATGGCAAGGATTATTACTGTATTTGGAAGGTTTGGAGGATCCATTACCCATCTGAGATAGCTCAAGTCGATTATATTTTGGTTGAGATTTGTAAACTGGCAAAGGATATGTTATTTGTACGAGTAATGATTATTGTAGAGAATGCATCATAATCAGGCCCAAGCCCATTGAGAGTATGATGAATTAATTGCGAATTAGTCATTGGTTCTCCAATTGCAGCTAGCTTATCACTAAATACTTTGATCTTTTGGAGATAGTCAGACATGGAGAGATCATTCTTTCTTAATGCTCCAAGTTCATTCCTGAGACCAATGACACTAGCTATACCTTGAGGGGAGTATAGATTCTCAAGCGTTACCAAAACTTCTCTGCTTGTCTTGCTTTCTACGACTTGGGCTAGCACCGCTTCTATTAGTGAGGCTAACAGCCAGTTGAAAATATAACGTTCTTGCTTGACCCATTGTGTGTAGGGTTCTGACACCGAGGTAGAGGATCCTGAGGTAATTGAGGTTGTCACAGAACGAGTTGGACAAGGAGTTGTCCCATCGACATGCCCAAGGAGATCATTGCTCAGAAAAGCATTCTCAACCTGGAAACGCCACACGATACAGTTGGATCCATCCAACCGAACTGAAATCAATTGGGGAATATGATTTCCTGATGCTCCAAAGTTTAGTTGGTTAATAGAATTGGTCGATGTAGTGGACGACACGGTAAAGATCTAAATTCGAATGCTTATGGCTCTGATACCATAAGAGAGTAATAAAGAGAACAATTTAGTTGAAATAGCAGATGTGCTATTAAGCTCTTTTTGTTGTTTAAATAGAGATTACAAGGTTGATTCCTATATGATCTAGGATAAGACTGTGTTAGCTATCTAGGATAAGGCTTATCTTAAGGTGAGAACTATCACAAGGATAAGTAATACAACATGAGAAACTTAGGAATCGAGAGTTTGATGCGTGCATGGCTCATGCACGTTGCTTGTGCATTATCACTTACAACTAACACGTTAGAGTTTCTAATTTATATGAGCCCTAAAGATCAAGGGGATGTTTGAAACCGTGGCCGTTTTTCAAAAAAAATGGTGCCACGTCGGATCCACATAGGCGTTTCAACAAACGCCCATGTATCTCATTGTTTGGTTCAACCGATTATTAAAAAACTGGGCATGCCTAAAAAATCGGGACCCCACGGATGCATGAAAGGCCAAATTAACTGATGTGTATCCTATGTGGTGCTTATTTGTCAGCACATACATGAAAAACGGTGATGAAAATCACCTTACCAAACAGCATAGTGTTGCTCACTGCCTACGTGGCAGAAGCGTTTTTTTTGTGAAAAATGGGTCATGGAAGCATGGGCGTTTTTTTTTGAAAATTGGTCCCAAAAAGCGCCCACGCTTCCAAACAGCATGTAAGATGACTTTGATAATTTTGAAGTATGGTCTAATATCTAAAAAACTTGCTTTTCATATATTGGATTTCATTTGTGTTGCCATCTAAATTATACTAGTGTTTCAGATCATGGCTCCTTACTATTTTCAAACATCAGATTGGATGCTTTTCAAATATCAGACATTTTTTTTCGATTAATCAGCCTTTGTTGCACTTACAGATGCATGCATGGCCATTACAGAGTAACATTCTTAAGTTTTTGCATGGGAATTTGTCAGCCAGATTTGTTAGTAGGGAAGACAACAATGTTGCCCATCAACTTGCAAAGAGGGGTGTTAGCAGCTTAGAAGTTCTGTGGATGCACCCCTCATTTTGGCTGACAGAGGTTCTCGAAAAGGATCTCCAAGATTCAGGGGATAGCAGATTTGCTCATCCTGCTTAAAGTGTTTTCTTGTTCTGGGTTTTCGTTATGTTGGTACTTTCTTCTTGTGTTTTGTTTTATGTTCTTTAGATTTTTTTTTTTTTTAAGTGTGTCTGTTGTTGTTTCTCGTTTTTGGTTTGTATTTGTTTACTGAAATCCTTCGTAATACCCAAAAAAAAAAAGAATGGTAGACTTCAATTTTATCAAATGCTACCTATCTCAATCCAATGGTTTGCCCAAAGTAGGAGTTCATGTTCTGATGCCCTAAAGAGGATGTCACCCATTCATGATCATATGCAAAGAGCCCATGCTACAAATGAGCATGGATTAATGGGGATCTATATGAGATCCCCATATAGATCACCGTGTGTAACTGCACCGTGATCCAATGGAGATGACAACATGGCAGTTTGGGGAGGGTTTTGTAAATTTTAGACCCTGTCAGTCTCCCTAAACATCCGAATTTGTACCTGTTCCAAAACCCTCAGCAGTTTGGATTTTGAGAATCTAATCCTCCATGCACATGAAAATGCAAAACCCTCCCCGCATTCAAGGGTAGAGTGGGTTGGCTTTAGAACCTGTATCTGGTTTCTTATTATTTCTTGTTATAAGCAATAAATAAGTAAAATAACATAAACAAACAACAAAATTTCCAATTATTTGATTAAAACATGGAAAAAAATACATAAACTCTCAATTATCCTTCACATAAAATTCAAAATATTATTAAATTCAACACCTAATATATAAAATTTATATGATTTTCAACACTATACAGATTGGGGAGGGTCAGATTTACCCTAATGCTATACCTTATCCATACTCATATGGGTTATAGAATCCCAAACTCGTCTAACCAAAAGCAGAGATGTAAACCTTTGATTCGCAAAGGATATGATATCTAATTGGGCCCAAATTTTACTTGTGGCATCTGAGAAAAATATAATATGATCATGATGGTTTAAACATCCCGCCGCAGGATGTTCACATTAAATGTCAAACCGACCAAACCGGCCCGACCCAATCCGAGTTGGTCAGTTTTTAAAATCACCAGTCAGTTTTGGTTTGTATGAGAAAATAAACCAACAACTTGGTTCGGTCCAAATCGAACCGAACTGATCCTATATGTTTAAGTAATTATTAATTAATCCCTACCCTATATGTTAAATGTTGATATATTTTATTTGTGTTTTGTTTGAACTTTGAAAAAAATCGGTTATTTATAATAAAAACTAAAAACGCAACACCAATACAAATATAATACAATGGTACAACATTTAATTCAGTTTTGTATAAATTTAAATATATATTGACAAAAAATCAGTTTTGCATAAAAAACTAATCGATTTAAATATATATATATATATATATATATATTGATTTTGTATAAAAACTAAAAATAATACTTAAATATAAATAGATATTTTAATTTAAAATATATATAAAAAAACCGACTAAATTGATTAACCAACCCTTCATGTTTAAATCGGTTTTACTTCAGAATTGATTGATTTCAGTTTAATTAATAAGTAAGTCGACTAGGTTAAATCAATTGAAGAAAATGACTCAAACCGACCCAACTCAACCCATAAAACTTGTACTGAATAACAAGCTACGTCTTCCTTATCCTACATCATACAACTTTGACGATGACATGAATTACCTTCCACCAACCACTGCCGAAAGGAGCATTCCTCAATCCTCACGGTCACGGGTAAGTGGTGGCTACGATTACCGGCCTTTCGCTTCTAATTCCGAAGCCTTTAACGGAGGGTAGAGATTGAACAAGGGACCAGGAACCATGAAGTGATGCATTTTAACAGGTGGGAATTAATGTCATCATATGGCGCTAGGAAGATTCCAATCTGACGTCAGGATGACCAATCCATGATGTTATACGCGAGTACCCTACGTGGCTACATCATTAGTGGTTGTGGTTGTTCAATTTTAACTTATTAAAATGCTAATTGAATGCATGGATAGGAATATTGGAGTAATATTAAGGCCCCGCTTGGTTGCAGAAATAGAGGTCTGGAATCAGAATTAGGATGATTTTTTATTATTTGGTTGGGCGGAATCGGAATTCTTTTTCCATTTCTGTTAGAATGGCATTCGTCCATTTGAGAGCCCAGATTCCTTAGTCACTTTTCCTATTAACTCTCTACCCACCTTGCAGCCACACATCTCTCAATTCATAATAGAGATGTTTGACTCTAATTCAGGGTAGATAGAAAGTGGGTAGGAAAAGTGAGTAGCAAATCCCATTGCCCATTCGAGGGAATGGCTATTCCCTGCTCCTCTCTTAGGAATGAAATTCCATTCTTGCTGATTTTACTTCTCATTTCCATTCTGATGTAACCGTTTCTGGTCACATACCAATTTTTTATTTTTTGGCTAAGTTCCTCGTCATTTGACCTGCTCCCAGGAGAGGATGGTGGAGCTCCCTGGTGGTGAATTGCTTGGGGGAGAGCTATGCCGAGCTGGGGAGAGCTATGCTGAGCTCCCTGATGGCTAACTGCCTGGGGGAGAGCTATGCCGAGCTGCTTGTGCTATGCCGAGCTGCTTGCGCTATGCCAAACTCCCTGATGGTGAACTGCCTGGGGGAGAGCTATGCTGAGCTCCCTGGTGGTGAGCTACCTTGGTGGACTCGTCATTTGACCTGCTCCTAGGCGGCCTGTAACTCAGAGGATGGTGGAGCTCCCTGGTGTAGCACGACCCGACTGCCCTCTGCATGAAGTGATCTCCTCTCCTTTGTAGGCGGCAGGAGCTGAGGGACCTGCGAGAACTCCATCTTTCCTCCTCTTTGTAGGTGGCGAGAGCTTGAGGAACCTGCGAGAACTCCACCTTTCCTCCTCTTTGTAGGTGGCGAGAGCTGAGGAACCTGCGAGAGCTCCATCTTTCCTCCTCTTTGTAGGCGGCGGGAGCTGAGAAACTTGCGAGAACTGAACCAGGGGGCCTAGGGGTATTTACCCGGCGGGGACTCTCCGATGCCTAAATTAGCACTCTAATTGTAGAGGGCTTGAAGATGATATTAGAGGAATGAGAGAGCTAGAGAGCAGGGATTACCTCAATTTTTTTCATTCTCTTCCCCTTGGCTTTGGGGGTCAGAGTCCTTATATAGCGGTGCCCAGTCATATCAGGCGTAACCGCCACTGCTCTAGCCATTACTGTCAAGACTGAGGTGGCAGGTGCAGGCTGCTGCTGCAGGGTACAGACTCGTCAGGCATGCCATGCTTTTCAAAGACGGCAGGCACGACGCCGCCTGGCAAGAGATGTGGGCGCTGCCACCAGATCTGTTAGGTACGGTTGTTAGGCAGGAGATCTTCCTGTGATATGCCAAACTGCTCTTCTGTACCGAGCTGCCTATGGCGACAAGCTCCCTGGTGGCTACTTGGTGATGAGCTCCCTAGTAGTGAGCCACCTTGATGAGCTGGAGTGCGCTGCCTTGGTGGCGAGCTCCTTGGAGAGCTGCCTAGTTCCTTGGTGGTGAGCTCCTTGGCGAGTTGCCGAGCTCCTTGGCGAGCTCCTTGGTGAGCTGCCGAGCTCCTTGGAGAGCTGCCTAGCTCCTTGGTAGCGAGCTCCTTGGAGAGTTGGCGAGCTCCTTGGAGAGTTGCCGAGCTCCTTGGTGGCGAGCTCCTTGGAGAGCTGCCTAGCTCCTTGGTGGCGAGCTCCTTTGAGAGCTGCCTAGCTCCTTGGTGGGCTCCTTAGAGAGTTGCTGAGCTCCTTGGTGGCGAGTTCCTTGGTGAGCTGCCGAGTTCCTTGGCGAGCTCCTTGGAGAGCTGCCTAGCTCCTTGGTGAGCTGTCGAGCTCCTTGGCGAGCTCCTTGGAGAGCTGCCTAGCTCCTTGGTGAGCTCCTTGGTGACCTGTCGAACTCCTTGGTGAGCTCCTTGGAGAGCTGCCGAGCTCCTTGGTGAGCTGCCGAGCTCCTTGGAGAGCTGCCGTGAGGTGCCAAGTGCCATAATTTCATTGGAGGGCCAAATCTGCCCTCATCACATTCCTATCTAAACCAAATAGATTATGGGAATGGAAATAGACCATTCTGATTCTAAAGGATTTTGATTCCAATTCCAATTCTAATTGCAAATCAAACGTAGCCTAATTTCTTTCCACAAAGCATAAAAACAATTTACAGAAACAGGCAAGAAGCAAAATAACCACAACCATTGCAAATTATCATAAAGAAAATAAAACAATTCCATATTATATTACATAAGTCTAAAACAGTGGAACGGATATATCCATCCGTTCAGCAACAACTTAAAAGAAAGTTAAGATCTGAAAAGCGTCAATATATGTAATTATATACATTGTAGATATAAAGAGTACCAAGGGACGCACGAAAACTTGGCAAAAAAAAAAGTCTCTTATATAATGCTTCCATCTCTCTTGGTCTCTTTTCTTTCCTGTTCTCTGTTTTTTACTAGGTATATATATGGAACAAAAATCAAATATAGACTAGGTAACTACCCTACTGCCAGAAGAGTTTTTCCTCCATCTTGCTAGTTGTAACAAGAAAAACATGACCTCTGATGGATCACGCAATGAATACGAAGCCATGGTCTCCTTTGGGATGGAAGAAACCAGAATGGGATACCCTTGCCCTCTGCTTTGTATTGCCTGCACAAAATAAAAAAAAGATTTAATACGCAAAATAGATGAAACATGGACTTCCATGTCCAAGCCCATTTGCGGTCAGGTTTAGAAGCATACCTTGAAGGCATCTTCATCGGTTCGATCATCTCCAATGTACACCGGGAAGACATCATTGGAGTTGCCAAGTCCTAGCGTGTCGAGTAGATATTCCACAGCATTCCCTTTATCCCACTCTATCGATGGGCGGACTTCCAGAACCTGTGGATGAATGAATAAAATATGTTATGAGAGAGAGAGAGAGCGAGAGAGAGAGAGAGAGATTGTTTTACTTTTCTTCCCCTTGTCAGGTGGAAGAGGGGATACTCTTTCAGAGTCGACTTCACCCTCTCTTCTAAATCTTGGAAGTCCTGCAGTCAACATACATTCCTTTTATTATAAAGGCAAAAATGGCTGTTCTTACGTAGAGTGACATGGGCTCCGGTTCCACCCTGGACCTAAAAGCATGTTGTTTCCTGATTCACATTGAAATGGTAGTTCATAACAGTTAATCACAAACCGAATCTAACTTGACATCAAAGCAAGCCCACTTACCAAATCTGAAGCATGTTGTCAAATTACAAATCCTGTCTTCCAAACACCCAACCCAAAGGGTTCTAAGACATGACATTATAGTTGCCCCATGCTGAGGGCGGAGCCATTTTTATTATTATTATTTTTATGGCAGGGTGGGGCCATTAGTTAAAAGAAGAAAACAAACTATTGTTTTATCTAGTAGTGTATAGGGTCCTCCGTACTCCATTGTAAACTAAGCCTAGGCCCATGATGGATCCAGCTTAGGCTTCAGTTCTTGGAAGACCATGGGCCCAATTTTAAAGCTAAACCGCGAAAGTTAGGTCTAAGAGGCACCCTTATGCTAAAGGTTCAAAATGGTTTCAAACATCATATTTGTGGCATGAAGGCTGGGCTCGGTACTAAATTCCATGTATAAGGTGTCACTTTATAACTATTGAAATAGAAACCGAAAACAAAATCTAAAAAGATTCCAAATTTAATCCAATTCTAATTTGGAAATGTTTACTGCATTACGTTTTCAGTAGCTATTTCGGAAACTAATATAAATGGCTCCATACCTCTTGACGAACTCGGCGGAAGTGGACAGAGATACAGAACTTATTGTCTTCGATCCTGACTCCTCCTATCGTTTTTGTCTTTTCCGCCAGCACCTGAATTATCTAGAAGGGGGAAAGAAAAGAATATGCAATATAGCATGTGAGAAGTGACGAGCACCTTTTCGAGGATAAGATGTAGACGAGTTAGGAATTAGGATCAATGCGTTCTATATCACGTACCTCTTGAACTGTAGATAAATACTCTTGTGCAGGTTGGAAAACTACAGCTTCATTCCCCTACAACATGCCACAGCCGTATTACGAAAGTGACTTAAAATCACTTGGAGAGATGCAAGCATTGATAATTGAATCACCCCAAACAAACCAACCTTTTCGTCAGTAGACCTCTGACATTTGGTGAGATCCCTGGACTTTAGAGGCCGTAATGGGACCATTATATCCATCCCATGGCTTCCAGCGTAGTATACATTATTCAATTGTACAAAATCTAATACCTAAACAAGAAAAGAGATTGATTAAACTACTACATTATCTCATAAATAATGATAAGACTCAAGTTTGACTCGTTTGATTGAGCTCCTACCGAAATAACAGTTGTTTAATTAGTGTTACCTTGTCCCGGCACCTTCCACTGATAATAGCTGTTGGAAAATACCTTGCAACATCCCCAACTGCTGAACGCATCTGCAACTTATTTACAATTTCATTAGAAATTTCAAATATGACAGTTCATTTAGACCTTGCTGGAAGTCATGGAATATAGAATTGCTTAATCATTTCTTTTTTGTTTCCATATAACATTTAAATGCATAACTTCTTTGTATGAAATGGATCATCTGGACTGGGATGTATGTATGTATGTATTAAGTTATTACCGGATCAGACATTAAAGCCTTATCTGGGTCTTCAACGATCGGTGAGAGGGTTCCATCATAATCCAGAAATACAACAATCCTTTTGCCCTTAGCTGCATTCATCATCTGATCAAACATGCTCAACGCAGAAGGATGTTTTATCTGCAATAACAAAGCCACAAGTACAACAGTATTATTTTTTATTGGAAGAAAAGAGCAACAATAAGACGATACATTAGAAAACGCTGACGACACACTAAGTACAGTTGATGGATTCCTTTTGACGGACTTGGACTGGGCGAACCTATTCAGAGCCCAGCATCGACTACAGAAGCGAAGCTGAATCTTGTTCCCTCTAGACTCTAGAGGCGTTTCAAGCCCAATGCAAAATCAATACTAAATTTGAGGATTATAGGCAAGCTCCATCTGGCCTCATAGATAGAGTCCAAGAGTCCACCACCAGGTGAAAGCAGGCTGGACACTTGTCTCAACCACTCATCTGGCCTGCCCAGTACTTTCAATGAAATCACGTACTTGCATCATCATCTTAAGAATGAAGGTTGTGAAATTAAGGGACAAAAATCCAATTTTAGCATAGCTAGGCTATCCATACTGCAAAGTCCACCGATAATGGCTTACTATTTATGAAATAAAATGGGGAAGTAATACTTAAAAAAAAAAAAGCAAACAAACACAACCTTGGCAAAGGCAAATACAACAAGGAGGATTTCTTATGACCAGTGTAGTTGAACTTACAAGCCATGAAGTGTAATTGGCGTCCAAAGCAACAGGTTCATTATTGTTAGGCCCAAATTCTTTCGTTCGGCGAAGATCACAACCTTTTGGAGTCTTTGTAACACCTATTCGATCACCATTCTCATCAGACCTTACTTTAGCAATGCATTCCACGTTTTGTTGATTCGCCCGCAATCGTTGAAATCCCATTGCGTGACAAATACTTTATTAATTAAAGTTTTACCCAACCTGCATTCAACATATTGTCAGCTTGAGATAGTTCAGAGTAGCGGACTTTCAATTAGGAATGGCCATAGCCAAAGGAAAAACTTTATGATGATTAGCACGTAGCACTTGGCCACGTTGAATAAATAAATGCAACCAATTGTGTTTTGACCCAAGCGTCCAAGAATTTGAAGCATGTCTATAATTCTTTTTTAAGTTAATTGAGGTTTAGTATTTATGCCCTGTTCATTTTTCGATAAGTTATTTATCCGGATAAATAATAAGTATTTTTTAGGAAAATATTTATCTGAATAAGTGCATTTATTCATATTTTTTTTATAAATAAAGTAATGACCATTTTAACCATAAAAATTCATTATTAAAAGAAATATTTTTGTTGCATTCAGGTGTGACAACTTTCCTCCCAGAGAGAAAAGTTATTATCCACCTAAGAGATGGGTATCACTTACCCGGATAAATAATACCAAGAAAATATATATATATATATATATATATATAGACATTAAAGCTAGATACTAAAAATTTATAAAATATTTTCATTATTTTGTGTGCAATGAACCTCCGGCCAAGGAAAATATTAGCTTTATGTAGCAAAGATGAGGCGTGGTCTATTACAGATTTCTTGTTCTCTTTTGGCATTCCAATTGGAACGTTGTGTTTGTCATCACCCAAAAGGGGTTGATCGGTTCGATGGATGAAAATTATGGCATACCATATACATCACTGGCGACCACCATGGAATTGATGCAATATATTGGGGTTTCAAACCAGGTATCGTAGGCCTTTTATAAGCACCATTGCATGGGAATTTTAGTCTCATTTGGGGCTGTGATCATGGCACTGCGGCAACCAGAATACATCTTATCAATGCCAGACAGAAAGACCCACATGGCTCGAACATAAGTTTGTGTCATTATCGACAGTCAACCATTGCTAATGGGAATACTAGAGGGAAAATTGAGGGGCAGAAGGTGGATCGAACAAGACCAACTGAATACACATCTAAAGTTTAAACTCTAAACAAGTTAAAGGCCCTCGGCCCTCTATATCTCTATGGAGTCAGGAGGCGGGAGCATACGTTTGTTCTCTGCATGTTGCATGAAGCCAATCAGAATCAGACTATGTTCTACACTGTAAAGTGCGTTCAACCATGTCTCCAGCCATGGAGATCCACGTGTCTTCTTCTCGTAGACTCAACGGATAAGCCCACCAGAACACCCATAATCCGGACTCCATTCTAAGTGGTTGGGTTCAACTACACAGGGACTGATGCATACTTAAACTCAGGCCAGACACGGAAGCCCCTTTAGCCCCCATGATAGAACATACCACCTAAAAAAATACCTTAACAATAGCAGATTTCATTAGGGAGTGATGTACAGTGCGCACTAATCATTTTAGATACCTGAAATCTATGTCGTCGCTCAGTCGGTGGCTCCACAAGATCCAGCTCCGTTTATTCTCCACATCAAATCTGCAATAGCATACAGTTCTGTCAAGAAAAATAAATATCAGAGAGAGAGAGAGTGACAGAGGGTTAGAGAGACAGAGAG